GAGCAGCCACTGGGCTGTGAGTGAGGGGCCAGGCTGCGTAGGGGAGGGCGGTCTCAAGAAGCCAGCTCCATATTCTGTCTACATTCACAGAGCTTTCCAAGATGGACTGTAAGTCGGCTTAAGTGCAAGAGTATGAAACCTCACAAGGAGAGTATAAAGGGGCCAGCCAGATAGCTCAGCAGATGCAAGTTCCTGCTGAGTTGACGCGGGGACCCAGGCTCCACCCCCTGTGCCATGATGGCTCCACCCCTAGGGCGTGATTGAGACTGGGCGTGGTGCCATGTGCCTGTAACCCCAGTGCTTGGGAGGCTAAAAACGGGAGCATCACTCCGAGTCCGATCTATGTAGTGAGAACCTGGAGACTAAATACATTAAAAAAGAGAGAAAGAGAAGATAAGTGGGGTGGGGGGACTTATGGGTTAGTTCAGTTGTTTAAGCGCCTGCTCTGGAAAACTCAGACACAGAGGTCCCCTGTTCAATCCCCACCTCCACCTACCTTACCAGACCACCCTTAAGGCAGCCTGAGCCGCCAAAAAAAAGAAAACAATCCTTCTCAACTTTTGGGCCGGCCAAATGGCTCAGCGGATTAAAGCACCTGCAAGTAGGCAAAGGGTTCTGGGATTAGATCCCCAAGCCTGCCGTGTTGGCCCCACCCCGGGGGCATGCTGAGACGGCATTTGAGGCTGGGTGTGGTGGCACGCACCTGTAATCCCAGCACTTGGGAGGCTATAAACAGGTGGATCACTAGAATCTGATCTAGTAGTAAGACCCTAAACACCCTTTAGACCCCTCCATAAAATAGAAATAAAATAAAATAAAATAAAAACATGAAGGTAGCCCTGAGCATGGTAGTGACGGTTGAGGTATGGGAGCAGTTGGTAGGTGAGACTTCCTTAAAATTGATGCTTTGGAAAAACTGAGTGAATAGGAAGACAAGCTGCAGGTGGTTTACAAAGTATTTGTAGACACATATAAAGGATTTGTATTCAAAATAGACAAAGAACTCTTAAAGTTAACTAATGAGAAAAGAATTAACAATTAAAAACTGGACAGGGGGGGCTTGCTGGTCAGCTCAGTTGTTTAAAGCGCCACTTGGGCAAGTGCAGTCAGTTGCAGGGGACCACGGTTCCAGCCCCAGCTCCACAAGCCACACCACACCCACCATTAAGGCAGTCTGAGGAGCTGGGAAGATGGCTCAGTGCAATAAGCCCTTCCCTGGCAAGCACAAGGACCTGAGTTCAATCCCCGGTTCTGCCAAAAAAAAAAAAAAGTAAAGAAACTCTTGACAATTCCCACAGCTCCTAATTTTTGCCTTTCAAGGTCTCTAAAACTTTAGGGACTGGGGAGATGGCTCAGTAGAATAAGCACTTCCCTAGAAAGTGCAAGGGCCTGAGTTCAATCCCCAGTTCCAGGAAAAAAAAAAAAAAAGCAGTCTGAAAGAGCCAAAAAAATAAGTTAATAAAGAAAAACTGGACAAGCTGGTTTTGGTACAGTGCCTGTAGTTCCAGCTACTCTGGAGGCTGAGGCAAGAGGATCCACGTGAACCCACATAGCAAAACCTTGTCCCCAAAAAAGAAATTAAATTTAAAAAAATGAAAACTGGGCAGAAGACCTAGTCAGATGCCTCACCAAGGAAGATATACATTAGAAAATTGCAGATTAAAAACTGAGATGCTGTAAGTCTGTACTTGTTGCAAGGGCTGAAGTTCAGCAGCACATGCTGGGAGGGGTGGGAGCAGCAGCTCGGGCGGGCGCGTTACTCGGGGAGGAGAGGGGATGTGGCCACAGGCGCAGCTTGAGTCTCCTGTGGACTCGTGTGCTCTTACAATGCAGCCCAGCACTCAGGCTTTGGGTGTTCGTCCAGCTGATGTCCACACAAAAGCCACATGTGCGTGTCCACAGCAGTGTGAATATAGTCACCCTAAGACGCGCCCAGGATGCCCTCCTGCATTGAGTGCCATGGAGGCTGCAGTCCAAGTGTTCTGTTCAGCAGTAGAAGGAGCATCTTTCTCACTGTGTTGTGTGGCCCCTGTGTGCTGGAGGAGGGAAGGCTGGTGTAGGGAGGTGGTGGCTTCAGAGAGGGGGCAGAGCTTGGATGATTTTCAGGGCAGCAAGCCTGCTCAGTCTGGTCTTGCAGTGGTGGACTGTGATGTAATGTGTTTGTCAAACCGTCGAATGACCAGGGGACCCTCCTGCATACAAATTGAGGACCAACTGAGGCTCCTGGGGACCCCAGGAAACAGGCAGACTGTCGAGAGAATGTCTCTTCCATGCACACTAAGAGTTTGCCAAAGCCCTGGGAGGTATTTCATGGCTTTGGAAATGGCGGGATGTGTAAGGCCAGGCAAAGGAGCCGCACAGAGCTGTGTGCTGGCTGGTGGCACTATGCCTAGCAGGTATGGGTGGCAGCTGTGACTGTCATGTTTGCAGTTGTGTGGTGAGTGCCGGAAGTTTGTGGGATACAGACCACCAAAGGGTAAAGATCCGAATGACCCACGTAGGTGGTGATCCCGTTGGAGAGAGTGGTGAGAGAGCAAGTGTAGCTCATTGAGAATACTGATGAGTAGCAGGAGAGATTTGTGTAATATTTTGGATTTTCCTGAGTGTGGGTTACAAACTTTTATTCAATCAACTTTAATCGAAGATATTTGAAAAATGTGTCAGTTCTAAACAAATATAGACTTTCTATCTTGAATAATTATAACAAGTATTTACATAGCAGCTATATACTGTATTGGGCGTTATAAGTAATCTAGATGTGATTTAAAATAAGAAGATTGGGGCTGGTGAGATGGCTCAGCGGTCTAAAGCACCTACTTAGAACAAGCTTAGCAAAATACAGGGACCGCGGTTCAATCCCCCAGCCCCACATGCCAGCCAGCCCCGCCCCCTGGTGGGCTGAGCTGGCCACACACACACACACACACACACACACACACACACACACACATAAAATTAAAAAGAAAAATAAAATAAAATAAGAAGATTTTCTAGGCTACCTGCAAATCCTGTGTTGTTTTCTGTAAGGGACTTGAATATCTTTGGATTTTGATATCTTCAGGGGACTGTGAAGCCAACGCCCCACAAGTACTTAGGGTACTTGTATAGTAAAGGCCCCCGTTAGTGCAGTGTATAATGGTGTGGTGTTCTCTGTGACCTGAGGGCTTGCAGCCAGTCTCTGCCCAGTGGTAATGAGCACATCCAGTGCCCAGATCTCAGCCTCTGATTTTCTCCAGTAAGGGGCCAGGGTACCTTGGAGAAGTGGCAGATTCTGGGGCTGGGCCTAAGATGAGCCTGGCTCTTCTTGTAATGCCTGAAAGTCAGGAACTCAGAAAAGCAGAACAAAACCCCACAATACTGGGTCATGTCAAAGCAGTACAAGAGCCAAACCAAAGAGGCCCTGTGGTCAATGCTGGAACAGTTTGAACAACAAAATCAGTAGTGTTGAAACATACCCAAGAGTAAAATAGCCATGAGTCCTTGCTGATACTAATGATTAAATAAATTCACTGGACACTGGGCATGGTGGCGCGCACCTGTAATCCTAGCACTTGGGAGGCTGTAAACAGGAGAATCACTACAAGTCTGATCTAGTAGTGAGACCCTGAACACGCTGTAGACCCTTCCCTAAAATACAGAATGAATGAATGAATGAATGAATGAATGAATGAATGAATAAGTTCATTGATTGGGGGCAAGGGAGAGATGCCCATGAGAGATTCCGAGCGCCTTGTGTAGACACTGCGCCCTGAGAGGAGTCCACCAAGATCCCCGCTTCACGTATCACCACACACACCATGCCAACCCCTTCCAGCAAGTAAGTGAGGCAGGGGAGCCACTCAGCCAAGTGCTCACAGCTAGCATCAGCAGTGGGGATGTGAAGGATGTGTGACAGAGGGTGTGTGGCCTTGGGGGTTTCCTCCTCATGCCCTGGCCCAGCATAATGGTGAGGGAAACGTCAGACACTTAGGGCAGAGAGAACTCCTGCAATGCAGGCTCCGAATTTCCTCAGATGAGGAGCGTTGGCACCCGGTGTGGTGGCTCACACCTGTAATCCCAGCTCCTCAGGAGGCAAGTTTGAGACCAGCCTGAGCATCTTAGCAAGGCTGTGGCTGAGGGCCAGTGAGATAGCTAAGTGCCTGCCCGGCAGGAGCAAGGACCGAGGTTTGATCCCCAGTACTGCATGCCATGCCAGGAGTGTCATCTTGGCACGCCTGTAATCCCCGCCCTGGGGTGGCTAAAGCAGAAGGATCCCTACAAGTCCACGCTGTGTAGTAAGACCCTGTACCAAATATATAAATTACAAAAAAAAAAAAAAAAAGACCTGGGGTTATAGCTCAGTAGGAGAGCATTTGCTGGATTTGATCCCCAGTAGCACAGAAAGTGAGTGTTGGTGCCTCTGTACCAGCCAGGAGGCGCTACAGAGACTGAGACTTGAATATCATGGGGTGCTGAACTGCAAGCTGGAGCCAAAAAGAACACTGTGGAAAACTGAGGAGATAGGAAGCCAGGACTCTATTTCAAAATATATTAGTTTTCCTTTTTAAGATACTTCCTTTACCCCACTGTGAAATATACTAATCTTCCCTAGAACTGAAGTTCTGGGTTTTTTTCTTGGTACCAGCAACTGAACTCAGAGCCTCGCACTTGCCAGGCGGGACTGCGCTGCTAAGCTCTCTCTCCAGCTTGCGAGTCCTTGTGTAAAGCCTTAGGGCGTTCAGTGTTTATGAGTGGGTTGACATTGACATTGTCAGTGATGAGCAGCTCCTAATACAAGAGCCCTTGAGCGTGGTAGGAGAGCTGGAGAGGGGCTGCTGACTAGAGGCAGTCTGCACAGCCAGCTTCCTGCTGCCCTTGCCAACTCTGTCCTGAGCTGGGCTTGCTACCTGCCCTGGGTGCCAGGGCTGCCCACCGTGGGGGTCCACAGGCTCCGTGCCACCTTCCATCTCTGCCTGGGAGGCATTTGCACACACTGAGGGCTGTTTGTTCTTTGTTTACAGAGGTATTGTGGCCAGTATTTTGGTTTTCTTATGTTTTGGAGTCACACAAGCCAAAGATGGGCCATTTTCCAGACCTCATCCAGGTAACTCACCATTTCTCTTTCATGTGTGCCCTGTGGCATTGTCCTGAGGCTGCTCTGTGTCTGTGCTCTTGAATGTGAGTGTCTTGTCACCCTCCCGGCTCCTCTCAGCCCAGCCTTGCTTCCCGCTGCCCTGTGGCTCATCTGCCCCCTTCATGAAGTCTGGGGTGTACCAGGACTGCAGGAGGGCTGAGGCTTGTCTGGGCCCAGGGTTCCTGCTCCTCATCTCTGCCTCCATCCTCCACCCCGAGCTCTTGACAAATCCTGGACCCATATCCCCTGGGGATCTGAGCATGAAGGGTATGGACCCAGCTCAGCCCCTGTGGCATTGCTTGGACTCCCTCAAGTGTCATAGCAGAGGAGTTAGAAGTACCTGTGCTTTCTATCGTAAAGCTTGAATTATGGGGGGGAAATTTTAATTGAATTTTGATGTGCTTATATACATACCGATGACTTCAAACCCTAGAATCAAGTATAGGGTTTTTATTTTTTGTTTTGTTTTTTGAGTCAAGGATCCTACTGCCTTGGCCACGCTGCCTCAGCCTCCAGAACAGCTGCACCCTGGGCTTCGGCCACCATGCCAGCTGGATTTAGTTGTGATAAATTAGACTGTGAATGTTTGCATGTAGTCTCAGTGTGCTTCTCTGATTATTATCTGATAAAACATTCCACGAGAAGTCCAGGTTAAAGGCTGAGTCCACCAGCCCTGCAGGATGGTTGCGTCTGCCCAGGGCCTTGGGGGTACCTGTGCCTAGCTGGCTGCCTTTGCCACATCATTGCCCAACCCTGTGGGCATAAGTGGGAGCTGTGGCACTGAGTTGGGAGCAGCCAGGGCAGAGTCTGCTCAATCTTGCAGAGCAGAACGGGACTAGGGAGGTGATGATTTAAAAGTGACCAAGTCACACAGTGAGGCCCACATGCCAAGTGCCTGCAGGCCAACTTTGAAGAGCACTGGAGGTATGACCAGCACCTGGCCTCTTCCTGGAGGCCCCTCAGGTCCTGCTAGGCATGTATTGCATGAGCGGAGACCCCAGCTCCTTGGGCACCTGGTGATGTGGTCCTTCTGCCAGGAGACATAAAAGCTTCTAAAAGCTTTCAGCAAGCAACTTTGAGCTGTATGCACATTGCTGTGGCTTCCCACACTGGGTCTCCATCTTCCTCATGATGGGGGAGAGTGCTTGTTTCTGAGGTTCTTTTGAGCACTGCTCAACCTCTCTTCTTTCATTAAGGTTGGCTTTATAAACTCCATGTCTTTGGTAGTCTCTGTCTTATGCTCATGGATGCCTGTCCTAGAGCCACACAGGCTTGGAACCCTCAGTCCTATCTTCCTGTCAGACATACTCGTGGGGGATGAGAGTAAGACCACACCAGGGAGGAGCATGGGGCTTCCAGCTCCACAGAGGTGGTTCCTACAGGCCTGTGCTATTTCCCCTCAGCTCAGACATAGGGATTGCCTGGCCAGGCTGCCACACTGTGCCCATTAGCATCTGGGCCTCTGTGGGGCTACAGAGTGGAGGTTCCAGCTGGCTTGTCTGGGGAGCTCTTTATTCAGAAACTGTTCATTGGCCTCCCTCCCTCCCTAGTGGTTTTATTGTTTTCTGTTGCAGTACTGGGGACCAAGCCCAGGGCCTCGAGGTACTAGGCAAGCACTTCTACTCCAAGCTTCACTCCAACCCCAGTCCTGGTTCTTACTTCCACCTCAGCTCCCTGCAAAGGTGGGAGCAGTCACTGTGTCCAGCTCCATAGGGGCTGCCCCTATACTTCTCCCACCCAGTAATTTTCTTTTGTGGTGCTAAGGATTGTACCTAGGGCCTTCCCCCTCTTTTACTTTGAAACAGGACCTCACAAAATTGCCCAGGCTAGGCTCAAACTTAGAATTCTCTGCTCAGCCTCCAGAATTCTGGGATTATAGATGTTTGCCACAGCACTGGGCTTCCTCTCAGATTTGGTATTTGGAATGCTAAAACTGGTTGAGCACTGGAACCAGGGACACCAGTGGTAGGTGGGGGTTTTTTAGGTTTTCTTCTCCACTCACCAGTGGAGTGATGAGGGGCACATAGAAGTAGAATACAGAGCTGACGAGGAGTCATTTTCTGATGTGGGGCCCTCCCTGGGGGCAGCTATAGGAAAGACTGCAAGTTGCCGGGCAGGTGGTCGGTAACTGTAATCCCAGCACTAAGGAGGCTGAGGCAAGAGGATGGCTTTGAGGTCAAGGCCAGCTTGTGCTACATAGTGAGTTTACAACTAGACTGAACTACGTATCGAGACTCTGTCTCAAAAAAACAAAGGAAAGGGGGCTGGTGAGATGGCTCAGTGGTCTAAAGCACCTACTTAGAACAAGCTTAGCAAAGCACAGGGACCGCGGTTCAATCCCCCAGCACCACA